AGTACTAAGGTTTATAGATCAAGAAGGAGAAAGGAGCCTGGATTTTTGGTCTGAGCAAGCTGTACATGCAGGATTTATGCAGTACATCCTGAAGGAAGATAGGCATGCTGTGTTATTTTCCTTGTGTCCCAAATGCCACTGAGAAGCCAGTGTCTCCTGCATGGGAATCATTCAGGTGATTAAAGTAGTTCCAGGAGAGAACCACAGCCTTTTCCCTCCACGTCCTACCAGGTGATAAGAGCTCTAAAAATCAATAGTGCCTGGCTACATTCAGTCAATTTCTGAACTGTAATGCAGCAGAGCTCTCATTACAGGTCCAGCTGGGCTTACACTCCCCCCTAAGCAATAAGACAAGGGATTTCTTGAAAGTCACTACATAATCTTCCTACAAGGTGTGTAACTTTGCTACCCCTTATTAGTAGCTTCAGCAGCAGCATAACCTCCCCTGCCTTTGTCCAAGCCTGCACTAAGCCACACTTCCATCTGTCTTTAGGAATTTGTGGGAAAGGGGGGCCTGCACCTCAGCTCCACAATAAACACCTTCTGAACATATCCCGTTATAGTCCAGTAAAATTTACATGAGCCACAGCAAGAAACCAAATGACAGCACAAAAACAAAAGAGGTATGTAGCATTCCATAAACTCATACTCATTATTCTGCCACGTGGTAAGAGCTGGGTATGAAATGGACCCAAACATAAGCCTCAAATATGCCAGTACAGGTATTAAGCCCATTTTAAGAAGTATTTTACCAAAAAAGCCAACTACTGCAGAGAGAAATTTAATGTAATGTGCTAATCACTGAATCATTCAAATATATAGTCACATATACAGTAAAACATCTTTAAACTGAACAATATTAATTTTAATAACAAAATACATAAAATAAAGGGGAAGAGGTGGACAGCATATAAAGCTTTCTCAGGAAGCAAAGGTTGCACTACACCTGTAGGTGGAAGTCTCAGTATATAAACAAGTTCACTGCCAGAAAATCCTCTGCATGGAGGAACAATCTCCTTTTAGTATCTTATCAGGTATATACAACTACAATAAAACAAAGCAAACCTAACTGTGTTGCCTTTGGGCAGACTAGAACCCACCCTTATTTCTATTTTTACACCCCCAGCATGCAGCTTATATGCCCTGAAGTAATTTACAGCCATCACAAGTCTGGTGTCCCTGCAGCTTCTCATCTGTGCCCACTTGCTTTAATTACCATTTCACTCACAACAGTTCCTGCTTCTAAAGCAGCAAGTTTATGTCCTCATAAAGCAGATGAACATTGACAAAAAAGCCTATAAAATTCCCAGGGCCTCTCTGTCCCTCTTTGCTTGCACTTCCCACTTCAAGTTCAGCCTTTTTGCTCTGTACTTTGCAGTCCCACAGCATCACATCTGTAGTTATGACTTTGGTACTGTAAAGAAGATCCTTCAGGGAGAACATTTCAGCTGTACAGCCAGTGAGCAGAAACGTGAGCTCCTGCATTACCTAGGAAAGAGTGATGGATGCTCAGTCTCTCTGGATTTGGAGCACAGAGGCTGAGTCAGGGCAGCCCATCCTCTCTCTGCCTGCGGGCCAAACTGACACTTGCAGCCAGACCCAGCCCTTCCCTGTCTCTGTTCCATTTGGAAAGGTCAGCATCTCTCTGTGTTTGCACTGCCTGAGACAAAGCCCACTTGGCCTCAGATTATTGCAGACAAACCCCACAAGCAGCAGGCTCACCCCAGGAGACATGCAGTGAGCCAGGCTGACCAAAGCCCACGCCAACAGGGGATAAAGCAGCTCCCTGGTCCCACTCAGCTGACTTCCACAGGGGCATGTTGCCCTTCCTTCATTTAATTACTTCAAACCAGACACGTTCCAGCTCAAGTTTCCCAGCACAACTTGGATTTTCACCATCAGGTGTGTTTGCACCCTGTCTCTATGAAGCAGCTTCACAAACACTGTGGCTCTTGCTTAGCTGGCCAGCCAGAGTAGAGGATGTTCTACTACAGCTTTCCTAACACAGCACACAAACTGCTCCAATTAGACAGTTCTTAATTAGTCAGGGTGGAATCATAGTGAAGGTAGGTGTTTTTCTTAATATTAAGCCACATTTTTGTTTGGATCACCTTGATGCCAATGGCTAAAGATTATCCAGGACTGAAGATTATGCATTATGTTTTAGCTTTCATATTATCCAGATTGTGTTCTGCATTCTGAGCTTCATATGAAGTGTTAGCAGCTCTCTTCATAGCTCAGTCACGCAAAACAATCCTTTTCCATCCCAGAACCAAGGACAGCTGCAGCTTCATGCCCAAAAAGTGCAAACAGCAGGGAACCGAGGAGAGCAAACTGGGAGGATGGGATTGCACAACCTGGAGTTGCAACTGGACAATTAACCCCAATATGGAAATGGACCAAAACTTATAAAAGTGTGAAAACTCGTGACTCGGAGTTCATCTTGGCTGTACCCTCAGCCAGGCTCCTGTACTGCCCAAGGTGAGGCCTTTTGATAAATCCCTACTTTACTCCTTTAACTCTGCCCAACCTCTGCTCTAGGTGGCCTCTCAAGGCACCAAAGGGAGGACTCGTGGTGCCAAAGAGCACAATTTGTCAGGCCTTTACAGACAGTATATCATCTCCCAGTTTATGAAAAGCACTGTATAGTACAATTGCTTGAATAACAAAAAATATATCAGCTGCTTTCCCAAAACACAATTTATATTTCACAGTATTTAAATACCTCTTCACCTTTTAGTATACAATGTTTTCCACAATTCCAATAACTAATGTTTATCACAGTTTTATCTTGAGTCAATATATGTAGTCCAAATCAAGAACCGAGTTTGCATATTAATGTAGGCATAGAGAGCAGGAAAAAAAATTAAGGAAGAAAAAAAAAAGGGACCAAAAGGGAAAGCACCAAGATATTTCCCCAAATCCTAACTAAATACAAATCAAAGGCACACAGGGAGGTACTATTTAGGCAGCAGAATTAATGGAAACACAAATTAAAGCTGCTTAAAAGAATGCCTGTAGACCTAAAATTTACATCCATATCCAAGGCACCTAGAAAAACTACCACAAATGACAGCCAATATTTCACTGTATTTCCCCAAGCAGCTCTTAATTAAAGAGCATTACCGAGAACAGAGTACACTGCTAGCAAAAATTAACAGAGCACATCCAAAATCAACAGCAGGGGCAGTAATTACTGCCTGCTGCCAGCACTGCAGCCACCAGCTCCTGGCCCACATTGCCTCAGGTGGTTTCCCATGTTCCACACAGCTTTTGGATCACCTGGGTCTAAAGCCAGCCTAACAAAATGGAGTGTTTGCCCTAAGGGAGGTACCACTGTCCTCCTAGAAGGGCTGACTTTCCTTACACAGCTCCCAATTCCAGGCTGGTTCTGCACACCAGCCTGTCCAGAGCCCACACCTCACCTGCTGCTGGAACCTTCCCCAAGATGGTTTTCCTGCTGTTCTCTGCATGTAAAAAGGGGGAAAAAAAAGTCTGCAGATTCTACACCAAACTCCCTTTCCACACCTGTTTTTTTTTCCCCGAAATAATTACAAATTATTCTACTCCCTGCAAGCTGTTGCTGTCAGGGCAGGGAATTTGCCTTGAAACAGCACCAGCAGGACAACACAAAATCCCTAGTGAAACAAAACATGTTGTGAGCAACCAAGAAAAACCAAGTAAGCTGCCAAAATTTAACAGGTACCTTGAATGAAAAGCACAAATCACACTACACAATCATCAAATAAGTTACTGTTACCCAACACACCATTCAGAAGGTATCAGAGAATGCCTCCATTTCACACTTACAATTAGAACAACTTATTCTCTGCCTTTATATTCATGGTGGGAATTCAAACTTTAAACAAATATTTGTATTTGGATTAAACAAATATGTTTTTAAAATTACTTATGTTTACAATATGTAATTTGTATTAAACAAATATGTGACTTGGAAAATATCATCTTTCTCCTGATCACAAAGTACCCAGAAACAGATGTCACATTTCCCAATTTTCTTTGGTGGCTGGCAGTTATTTCCTTTGGATTTCCCCAAGACCATTTGTGATGACTATTGATGAGAAGCTCAGTGCAAGCAGCCACTCTTGTAACTGACAGCTTCTGCAAGTGAAACTTTACAAGGGATTTGAGCAGCTGAGGAGCCATATTTTAGTAATTTAAAATAATTTACTGGTACCAAAAGCATCTAACTGATTAAGTAAAATACAATGAAACCAGAACTTTTTTTTTCAAATTTTTTCAATTTATTTTGCCAGATTAAAATGTTAAAGTTTAAATTCTGAAGCGTCTTTTGAAATTTATTCATTCATCTACCCTCCAAAACAATAGAGTGAAAAGTTACATTTGATTTGACTGGGGTTTTTAACCTCTTGGGGGATGGAGAAAGGTGACCTCAGAGGGGCATGCTTCCAGCACCTGCACTTTAGAGGTTCATGCAAAACCCTGCACTTAACCCAAAGCACCTTCACAGACATTAACCAACCCCTTCCAACATTCAAAAATAGCAAGAATCAACAAAGTCAAGCTGCTGGCTCCTCTTGTTGGGCTTCCATTGTTTGCCACCAAAGAACTTCATTAACTGGGAAGTAACTGGGGACACCTTCACACAAAGCTCTGTTCCATCCTGGCCACACTGAGCTGAAGCCATTGCAGGTGAGGGATCAGGCTCACAGGGACTGCAAGCCCTGACTGAAACGCAGAAATCGCCCTCCTGAAACAGCCAGAGCCAAACTCTTTAGAAATTAAGACAGGTGACCCAATTTTCATCCCTTGTGTACATTCCAAAAAGCAGCCAGGGAAGTATTAACATTCATACAACCAACATTTTCAGAATGTGGAAGTAAAAAAGCAGATGCTGTTTGGTATTGAGAAATGAAGATACAATTTCTTGATGACCTTTTAGCCTATTTATACTAATTTGAATCATGTTACCATTTAGTATTTTAATACTTAAAATGAAAACAAAATGTGGTACTAACCTGTGGGAAGAGAGAGTAAGTTGCATTGTCAATTGTGACAGAATATAAAAATTCCCCATCAAACCAGAGGTTCTTTCCCATGGGGGAATTCGTCTTTGTCATAGCAAAGAGCTGCCCAGGGTCACAGCATTCTTCCAGCAGCTTCCTAGAGAAGGGAACAAAAGAGTAAGGGCTATTAATTGGAGCCTTGTCACACATTTGCTAATCATCACCCCTCACATCCCTGCTCCTGCTGCCCTCAGGTGCTCCCAATCCACACTTCCCAGCCAGCAGATGAACCCTGGCACTGTTTTTTTTGCTTACAGAAGAGCCAGAAAACCTGTTTTTATTTTGGAAAATCTCAGAACCAGAGAAAAAAATTAGATCTAAGTTTTAATTCAGACTGACACAGAAACAAAATCAAGATTCATCAACAGAAACTTCACCCTATACTGCCCATTTTAATGGGTAAAAAACTGATCTCCAACACATGCAGAAATCAGATAAGCTCCTTTGAAAATTCAATCCAAGGTGTACCCATAATCAGTACCAAACATTATTTATTAAGAGCAGGCCTCCTAAATCCCCACAGTTCCATAGTTAGGTATGGAAATGTTGGCACCTCTCTTCAGTTACTGCTTGTCCTTGTGCTACATTCCCAGCAGTATTAGAGGCTCCTTCCTATCTGGAGGGCAGCCTGAGTCACCCCAGGATGATGGATAAATATAGAGTGGCTGCACTCGCTGCTGTCCCTGCTGAAACTCCATATCCTCTTACTCCCTCGTGTCCCAAAATTATTTCCTAGCCCGAGTAGAAACTGGAAAGTTGGTGAGGTGGTTGAAGGTTATCCTGAAAATTCTGCACCACAGCAAACTCAGCAATTAATATGCTAAAACACAGAATGAGGGAAAACTCTAGAAGTCCAGAATATCCTGTATTTCCAAAGCCTTTATGGCCCTAGGAAGGGTGATACTCCTAGATGTACATAAAACACAAACTGCAGAATTCCATCACTACAGGGTAATATTATGTTATCATATACATTCCCCATATATTCAAAAGGTAATCCCAAAGAGACTGGAACCATTTCCAGCAGCTGCACTGGAGCTGTAAGCAGAAAAACCTCAATTATTAGCTTGATATAATATACTAAAATGTTTGATATAGCTGTTCTCCTCTGCAAAAGCAGATTTTATTTAAAAACCATAAAGTTATCCACAAAAAATTTATATTTAGGCATTTTTTAAAGTTTTACTGCTATTTTTGTATCTCTAAAAAATGGTATTCGAGCACACTTTTCCCTACCAAAAATTTATTTTCCCTTAAGTTCCTAATTCTCCACAAATATGTATTATTTCTCAGACACACATCAACTGAAGTAACAATAAGTATCCAGCAACAGCATCCCTCAGAATGTGGTGGAGTCCAACCACCAAGGAAGGGCTTCACATCACCCTCCTGCTGATGCCCAAAAAAGGCCTTCACCACAGAACTGTGAAAAACAAATTACAGGATATTCAAAATCTCTCACTGGATAACCTTTGCAGAACAGTGTAAAACAGGCATGGAATAGTCTTGCAAACACATGATTTGACAGTGGAGATTTTTCTGGCTGGCAACAAACCAGTTTGCAGATCTCGGAAAATTATTTCTCTCTCAAGTTTAAAGAAAATAATTCTGCATATTTTTCTATCCCCACAGCAACTCTTTCAAAAAACCTACGTTAATCCAATATCAGCTGGGGCCATTTGTTACAAAACTGTATAACAATCAAAAATTTCCAGTAAAATTCTGCAACTCACACATCCTCTGGAAGTCTGGTCTGAGCAAAAAGCACAAAGAAACCCCCAGATAACTTAGTGTGAAATTACCTAGGGAGTGTTTTAAATTAATGAATCTTTTCTTAGCCAGGGTAGACTGAAGAGCTAAGGAACTGCTCTTTGTACAAGTCCTACCCTATTTATTAGGTGAGATATACATCTCTACTCCTTTCCATCCCCGGAAACTCCTCTTTCTAATTCCCATGGAATGCTTCATTAATAAACCTATTATGAAAAGCAGCAGGGGTCTCCTGGAAGGGCCACAACTAGGCAGGCCACTCATTCAAGAATGAAGCTGTGTGTATGAACACAAAAATCCTGTGTACCCGTGTGTGCTCTCCATCCGAACACAGTAATTTATTAAAAGTCTCTTTCTGATCCAAATCCCAAAGTCACAAAGCAAGAAAAGATTAATAGGAAAGTGTTCATTGAAAAGGAGAATGGGTTCAAATGCAAACCTAGAGCAGGATACTTTGCAGGATCAGGGAGACTGGTCTGCCGAGCTTGATTAAAATGTACAGCATAAATGTTATTACAGAATTTGCAGAACTGCAGCAGCTTTCAGGCAGCAATCTCAGGGACAACCTGTATGTGAGAGGACTTAATATTGGGATTGAAAAGGCACTGGGGGCCCTCAGATCCAAGAGCACTTAGGGGACAAATCCCTACTTGTGAGAGGAGCAGGAGAAATGCTCCTTGAACAATCTCACTTCAAGCCCCTCAGATTTCAGCTGTAATTGGGCACCAGGTAGATCATTAAGCAAAAGGCAGACACTGCACTCAGGTCTTAATCTGAATTCATTTACAAAACTTTCATAAAACTCATGGACTACTTATTCTTCAATTTAACAACCTCTGCAGCCTGATTTCAGCTTGCAGACAGTTCATGCCCCTTAACTGCACCCTGGTTTGACTCAAGTCCCAGTCAATAATGACACAGGAGCTATTTTGAACATCCCAAATGCAGCAAATATAGTATCTAAAATCCCGTGGCACGGGTTGCCAGCCAGGAGCTCACAGCTCTTTGGCTGTCTCTTCCCTGCAGATGGGGGTCCTGCCTCCCCAGCTAGGCACCCCTTTCTCCAGCTGCTGGGGATGCTGTCCTGCATGGAGCCTGCAAGCACCACCAGCACTCTGCAAGGCAGGGAGAGCAAAATGCTTCCTCTCAGCTTCTCCCTTTGAAATCCATGCAAGTGAGATGTACTGCCTTCATGTGAAAAAAAAAAAAAAAACAGATTGATGGGGAGCCACCTGGGCAGCAGCAAGAGGAAGGCACCATCACCACAGCTGGAAGTGTTCAGAAAACAAGGATGATCCAGAGCACATGGATGGGCAAAGGACAGCAGAGACTACAGCCTGATGCTGCTCCTGCAGGCCCCAGCACATGCCAGCAGTGCCCTCCCTGAACAAGGGCATTGATTCAACCCTTGCACAAAAACCTTAACGTGAGACTTATTATTTCATTACAGTATGGCTTTAATGGAGCGTTAAAATAATGACTGAGGCTCACATCCAAGTCTGAGACAAAAATAATTTGTGAAGTGAATTGCTTTAGTCAGATTCTGCTCAGCTGCCTGGATTTAGGTGGCATCATGCTAACCTTGATCTGCTGACTGCAGAGCAGAGCAGGATCTGACAGCACGGCCTGACACAAACCTTCCCTTTCCATGGCAGTTCCCACCTGCCTCAACTTCCCTCGGTTTGCTTTGGGATCAAATTACTCTGAAGGCCCAGGAAAAGAAGGTATCTGGCTTTGGAGTTTTGGTTGGTGTCAAGACAAAACCATCAGGCTTCCCTGACAAGCAGGGTTTTGTGGAGCTGTTGGAACCCAGAGCAGAGGTGCTCGCTTGGGTTCACTAGGGAAGAGCTGCACAGATCCATTTCGGTGCCATTTATTATTTTTTTCCATCTACATACCCCTCCAGCAAAGGCAAGAAGACCTACCAAGGGCTTTGTGCAGTCCTCTACTAAATCAACACCTACTTTCCAGCATGTGCATCCCCTGCTGGAAATACTTCAGGAACTAAAATCAACAGTGGCTCTGAAACACATCTGGCTTGACCACCTCTAACAGTCTCAAAATCTAATCCTGAAATTCTCCTCATTATGTCTTTGGTGTAATGTTTCCATAAGAATGACAAATCCCCATGTTTTTGCAAGAAGTTTTGGTGGCAGGGGAGAAGAGAAAAATCACTGCTTAATATCTTGGTGTATTGACTTTAGAAACTCTGATCAGAGCCTGATTTTTTGGCACTTCAGGTTTTGGCTGTTTTTAAAATTATTTTTCCTCCCTCCTTTAACAGATCCTTAAAGGAGGCTGCTGAAATTTCAACCTCCTCTCTGATGAGCAAAAAGTTGGAGTTCCCTGAATTTCTTGCTATGAACAAAGCTTTTTACTCTCTCCAAAATTCCTGTGGCTATTCTCTCTTTTTCAAGGTCCACCCCTAAATATTTCATTCTAAATAAAGCCTAGAAATATTATTTCTAGGGTAGCTACCCCCTGCTAACTCCAAGGACAAACTGACCTCTATTTACTCACACATCCCACGCCACCCAAGAACAGGCCAAAAATCTAGGCTCATATCCCATCTCCCAGAGCAGGCAGCAGCCCGTGCCTGCAATTGTAAGAGAGTCCTCTCAAACACCACATAATGACCATTTCTCTGGCCATTTTTTGCTCCAAGCTGGCAGTCCTGGAATTTTATGGCCCTGCAGAATTCTACAAAGCCATTCAGTAACAGTAAAATCACTGGCTCTGCTACAATCAGTGAGTTTGGAGCTGCAGCTGACATTTGGCTCCTGAATAGTCTGGGAAAACATTGTTGGGTTTGGTCACACACACTGAATTTCTCTTTCCTAAAATTCTCTTTTCCTAAAAAGTCCAATCAAATCCCTGCAGCTGGGGATTAGCTTGAAGAATTCACTGATGCTTTGAGGTTTTCATGGTGTTTAAAGCACCTTACTGCTCCAGGCATACCACCCCACTCAAGATAAAACTGAAAATGATCCTCAGCACAACTGCTAGGGAATGTGATCTTAAGACCTCCCTCCTAAGAAAAATCACCTGGACAAGTACCAGATGAACAAGAGAATGGCCAGTGCAAATGCTCTTGATATTCACAAAAGCATACCAAATTGGGATTTTGGGACAACAGTCATAGTTGAAGCTCTAGCTAAAATTAAGACCTTTGCCAAATACAACAGCTAAATCAAGAATACATTGCTGTGCATAGGTTCACTTCTGAAAATACCCAGTTACCACAGCTTGAAGAATAGGTCTAAATGCAATGAAAATGAAATATGAAGAGTGGATAGCACAGAGCAGAACAGAGATAATCTGATTTAC